AGCTTTGTTCCTGCATCCATTGGTCCATGTAGGTAATCCTTGAACCCTATTCCTTCCTTCAACATTCCGAGTGTATTAGACCCTCCTTATCCTTGGATTTTTTCCTTAGATTCTGTTCTCTCTCGGCACAAGCAACAGATATCTTCTCCTTGAACCCCTTTAGACCCTCCGTTTCCAGCGTTTCATCTTCGTCGATGTCGAGCCCCTTCCATACGTCCTCTACAACCTTGACCCATTCCGTGGGTTGTCTACCCCTCTTTTTGTTTGCCCACTTCGCCTCCCATACAATTCTCGGCAACCTCTCCTTTCCCATCCCGCACATGCGATACTGCCATGTCAGCTTCCTCGCGTCTCTTCCCGACCGTAGGGATTGGATCCCCAATTCTGCCCTCACGGCTGCATTACTTGTGCGCCTGGAGCATCCTAGGATGGTTTTCGCTGCTTTCATCTGCGCCGCCTCGAGTTCTTTCACTACCTTCTTATTTCCTTCCCATACTTCTCCGGCGTACTCTAGCGGCGGTACGATTACGCTCTTCAAAACCTTCAATTTGATGCGTGTATCGAGGGCCGGTTTGCGAGTATTGGGTGCAGCTTCCCTGCTCGTGCTTTGCCCTTTTCCGCTACCTTGGACATGCGTGCATTCCACGAACAGTCTTTTGCGATCTCTACTCCAAGGCATGTGTACTGGTCCACTACCGCAATATTCTCGATCCCCCACTTCCACCTATGTTTTACTGGTTCCTCCTTGTTCTCGTTTCATACCATGACGGCACTCTTCTCCTATCCGTAAACTTCTTCGCCGCGTCAATTTGCAGTTGCAGTCCCCCAGGGGTGTCCGACATACCGACAAAATCATCCGCAAACAGCATTCCTGAAACCGACGTTTCCGTGTTCCCTACTTTTACTCCCTTCCGGACTGCCTCTACGACTTCCAACAGATCGTTGATGAACACCTGGAACAATGTTGGGGACAGCGTGCAACCTTGTGGGACCCCCTGCTCAATGTCGAAGAATTTGGACAGTTCTCCGTCTAGCATGACCGCGCTTTATTGTACACTCTGTCATCTTCTTCAGCACTCTCCACATTTTCCCCCTGATCCCGTATTTGGACAGTTGTTTCCACAACCCATTTCTCCACACGGTGTCGTATGCCTTTTTCACGTCCAGGAAGAAGCAGTACGTCGGCTTTCCCACCCTCTTTCTACCGTGGATGATTCTCCCTACCGTGAACACGTGGTCTGCGCACCCCCTCTTCTTTCGGAAACCTGCCTGGCCCTCACTAATGTTATGTTCCTTCTCCAATACTCCATGCGGGGTATTCCATGCGGGGTAACTACCAAAACGGCGGGGTATTTTATTTATTTTTCCTTTAAACGTTTCCTCAGAATCAGCAAAAGCTACTGCAGGTACTTGCTGGAAGCGCTGTTTTATGACATACATGGTTCACGCTACAAAAAATTACCGGATGGGTGCCATTTGTGTTTGATTACCTGTCAGCAAGCGAAGGGCTCGGAAACTAGAAAGACAACATGCATTCCCGCTCGTGGTGGTTTCGAAAGAGGCCGTGAGACACACGTGCGCCTACCTGGGATTTAAGTCGTTGGTAGCAACACGAAGACCGCTCGCTATCAGCATCACCGTGCCGACTGCGTCTTGGGCGGCGCGACAGCAATCGAATGCGCCGCCTTCAACGTCCACGTCTTCCAGAAGCGCTCGAACCTGAAATAGCATGATTTGAGATAACCCCGTGCGCCCATCACAAAAGTATCCATGTTTTGAATCTGTCATACTCCAAGTGCCATCTGGCAGGATAGCGCGGGCAGCAGCGGAGAAACAAAATGTAACGATCTGCTACTCTATCCTGCGGTGGACGCTAGGGTAAGGGGCGACAGTTGAACGTACATGTTCTGCAAAGATTTGCATCTCTGCTCGCACAACGGTTATGACTTTGGACTTGAGAGAAATGACCACTACTTTGGGTCAGGAAAATCAAAACACTTTCATTTTTGGGAAATGGACACAAGTGGGTATACCCACGCCATTCTCGGACAAAAGTGGGTACTCGAAATCCAGCGCGCGCGCACTCCCAAGGCAACCCCCAAACGACCCGAAACCCCATTCTGACACCTGGGCGACACAGCCAGGGACGATACACAGCACGGGCATCGATTTTTTCCCACGTTCAGGCACACATTCGGCCCCAATACCGCAGAGGCGCGCAAGGCCTCACCAGAGCGCCCAACTCTGTCCGACATCGCGGTGGGTATACCCAGCGGCGTCAACTATTTTTTCATGTACCTACTTATGTCTATATTTCGACCCATTTTTGTCCAAATTGTACCCACTTGTGTCCACTTACGGACGGCGGAAATCGAGCGGAAATCGACCTCCACGTCACCGCACGGCAGAACATCGAATAGCCTCGGAACGTCTCAGAACCTCCCGACACCGTATCCGTGGCATCCTTCCTATCCATGGCTGCCGACTGCGGACCGACCGCGGAGGAACATGTCAGAAACATGCCAGGCCCTCTCGGTACCGGCACGGGAGGATACCAGGCACGGGAAGATGCCCGCGGCAAGCCCGGCAAGCAGCGCACTAACGGCAAACGCCACAAATAAATGCGCAACACACAACGGACAACAAAACGAACGGGCGCGCATACAGAACAACAAGACGCGCATACAGCAACAACACACAAAAAAAACACCAACTACCACGGCGAGTGCACACCGACTCGTGAGGGCCGCAGCAGCATGTCGAGGCAGTTTGCCACGTAACCACATGATGGTATTCATATGCACAACATGCATATGGTGTACCCGAAGTAAAAATCCGGCTCGATATCCCCTCATTACCTAACCAATCAAAAGACGAAAACGGATACCGTTCGCTACGCTACGTCGTTCGCTGCTACTTTATGGATGGTGGGTTAAGGAAGAAATAGGCCGCACATTGCGTACTCCGGAGTAACCATAAGAGTTGGCATACACATGGTTTCATACTTTGCATGCATACGAAGTACTTCGAAGCACTACTAGTTCAGGGGTGCCGCGCCTAGGGTTGCGTGGTGAAGTGCCTCGACATGCTGCTGCTGCCCTCACGAGTCGGTGTGCACTCGCCGTGGTAGTTGGTGTTTTTTTTGTGTGTTGTTGCTGTATGCGCGTCTTGTTGTTCTGTATGCGCGCCCGTTCGTTTTGTTGTCCGTTGTGTGTTGCGCATTTATTTGTGGCGTTTGCCGTTAGTGCGCTGCTTGCCGGGCTTGCCGCGGGCATCTTCCCGTGCCTGGTATCCTCCCGTGCCGGTACCGAGAGGGCCTGGCATGTTTCTGACATGTTCCTCCGCGGTCGGTCCGCAGTCGGCAGCCATGGATAGGAAGGATGCCACGGATACGGTGTCGGGAGGTTCTGAGACGTTCCGAGGCTATTCGATGTTCTGCCATGCGGTGACGTGGAGGTCGATTTCCGCTCGATTTCCGCCGTCCGTAAGTGGACACAGGTGGGTACAATTTGGACAAAAATGGGTCGAAATATAGACATAAGT